CGACTTCATCATTTGCCGGAAGAAATGGCGGAACTCCGTCAAGAACTCCGAAGCATATGGTAGTTTCCACAGTATTGGCTCGGATCACAGAGTAGTCGTAGCAAGGGTAAAGCTTAGTCTACGGATAAGCAAGACGGAGAAGAGGGCTCCGGTTCTGGACTGGTCTAAACTTAAAACTGATATCGCTCTACAAGAGAGGTACACAGTGGAAGTTAAAAACCGCTTTTCCATACTTGAAAAGGATGATCAGACGGCAACAGAAAGGTACCAATGCTTTATTGATGCGAATAGGACAACTTCTCGACTTTTACTACCTGAAAAGGAGAAAAAGAAAAGATGTAAAATCTCAGCGACTCCAAGTGTTGAGATTGCCAGGCTGAAGCTGAGGGAATGTAGCATAAAATACCACTCAGATGCTACAGAAGACAACCGAATAGCTGTTCAAGAGGGCAAACAGAAGCTAGGCGATGCTTATCAAGCAGCCAAAGAGCACCTGCTGGAGGGGCAGGTCCGGGAACTGGAGGAAGCAAGTTGGCAGGGCAGACATGCTAAAAGCTGGACCATGATCAACAAGATCACAGGTAAAGCTCCATCATATACTGGCAAAATCAAGGGAAACTCACCAACGGAAAGGGTTCAGAAATGGAAGGACTATTTTGCTACTCTTCTCGGCTCACCACCGACGGTAGAGAACGCGGAAGAGGATATTGATCCAGTCCACCCACCTCTGAATATCGGAACAGAACCGTTTACGTTGGATGAGTACAGGAAAGCAAAGTCCAGCATAAAGGAAGGGAAAGCATGGGGTGACGACAACATAGCCCCAGAAGTCTTAAAACGATGCGACCTTGATCAAATTGTCTTAGACTTCTGTAACAATGCTCTATTGAAAGGTGAGAAACCAGACCAATGGTCAACTGCCAACATCATACCAATTCCAAAGAAGGGCGACCTTAGCGAACCAATGAACTATCGGGGAATAAGCTTGTCATCCCTAGTTGCCAAGTCTCTAAACAAGATGGTTCTAAACCGGTTGAAGCCAGAAATCGAGACAATTCTGCGTAGAAACCAGAATGGATTCAGACCAGGAAGGTCAACAACTCAACAGATATTGGTACTGAGACGTCTTATAGAGGGTGTCAAGAGTCGGAAACTGCCAGCTGTTCTGACATTTATAGACTTTAAGAAGGCTTTCGACAGTGTACATCGTGGGAAAATGCTAAAGATTCTAGAAGCTTACGGCATTCCAGTCAAAATCGTGCAGCTTATACGGCTCATGTACGAGAAGACAATGGCCAAAGTCCTAACTCCAGACGGAGAAACTGAATTGTTCGAGATACTTGCAGGTGTGTTACAGGGTGATACCTTAGCACCTTACCTCTTTGCAATAGTCATCGACTACTGTATGAGGCAAGCCATAGGCGATGATGCGGAGCGACTTGGACTCACCCTCGAACGTAGAAAAAGCAGAAGAGTGGGGCCCAAGATCATCACCGATGTGGACTTTGCAGATGATATAGCACTTATATCTGAGGACATGGACAAGGCTAACGAGTTCCTGCTCAGAGTAGAATCGGCGGCAGCAAGCGTGGGACTACACATAAACGAAGGCAAGACCAAGGTCATGACACTGAATATGGAGGATCGATCTAGCGACCTACAAAGTCGATCCGGGGAAGCCATAGAAAATGTAGATGATTTCATCTACTTAGGCTCCTGGATTGAGAGCACAGATAGGGAGATAAGGGTTAGAAAGGGAAAAGCGTGGGGTGCCCTACATAGACTGAAGGATATCTGGAAATCCAAACTCTCAAAGAGCCTAAAGATTAGATTGTTCATAGCGGCTTGTGAATCAGTACTGCTCTACGGATCAGAAACCTGGACACTGACAAAGGCTCAAGAGAAAAGTTTGGACGGGACATACACAAAGATGTTGCGTATGGTGCTGGGTATCTCATGGAAGGACAAGGTCAGCAATATAACTTTGTATGGTAGCCTCCCAAGGCTGTCAAACAAGTTACGAAGCAGGAGATTAAAAATGGCGGGACACTGCATCCGACATCCTGAGCTACTTGCCAGTGATTTAGTCTTATGGGAACCTACGCACGGTAGAGCACAGCAAGGCCGACCAAGACAAAGCTACTTGTCTATGTTACTGAAGGAAGTTGGGACAAACTCTAAAGAGGAACTGCGAACCCTGATGCGGGACAGGGATATATGGAGGGGGTTTTCTGGCGTAGATCGGACTTAGCTCCGACATAGTAGTAGTAGTAGTAGTAGTATAAAAATAAACAAACATGGTGGAGGATACGAGATGAAGTGCCTCGGTGGAGTGGTTTGAATTATTTGCTGTCTCAAATCTAATTTTTATTTTCGAAGCAAGACTAATAGTCTGTAGGACCGGATATTCGCCAACAACAATACTGTAATCACAGAGGAGCGCTTTGCAGCAGCTGTAGCTGTCTGTACTCGATAAATTAGGAAGTAAATACCTGCTAGATCAAGATAGTTATAGTGTAATGAGAGCTAGTGTACAGTACACGTCAGCAAAACACGGGGGAGAGCCAGTAACTCTCAGTTGGACAGTGGACTGCATGTCACTCCTCTCTCTCCTCTGTCATTTTAGTCAGCTTATAACTACTCTAATTCTTGGGATCACTTCTTTTAAAACTCTCTTTTTTCGTGTCATCATTATTTTAGGAGTTTATTAATTAATTAATTCTGTTTTGTCGGTTGCTGCAGTCTAGTTCGTCCTGTTGGCTATTTTATTGCTCAAACTACTGGATATGGATCATTAGCTCCGTTGTCCCCGAACTTTTGGTTCTTTTCTTTTGCAAGTGGTAAATCAACTGGTTGAACCACTAATCGATCCACTAATCGATCCACTAATCGATCCACTAATCGATCCACTAATCGATCCACTGATCGAACAACTGATCGAACCACTGGTCGATCCACTGATCGAACAACTGATCGAACAATTAGTTGAACAACTGATCGAACCACTGATCGAACCACTGATCGAACAACTGATCGAACAACTGGTCGAACCACTGATCGAACCACTGATCGAACCACTGATCGAACCACTGATCGAACCACTGGTCGAACCACTGATCGAATAACTGATCGAACCACTGATCGAACCACTGATCGAACAATTGATCGAACAACTGGTCGAACCACTGATCAAACCACTGATCGAACCACTGATCGAACCACTGATCGAACCACTGATCGAATAACTGATCGAAGAATTGGTCGAAGAATTGGTCAAAGAATTGGTTGAACAACTGGTCGAACAACTGGTCGAACAACTGGTCGAACAACTGATCGAACCACTGATCGAACCACTGATCGAACCACTGATCGAACAACTGGTCGAACAACTGATCGAACAACTGATCGAACCACTGATCGAATAACTGATCGAAGAATTGGTCGAAGAATTGGTCAAAGAATTGGTTGAACAACTGGTCGAACAACTGGTCGAACAACTGGTCGAACAACTGATCGAACCACTGATCGAACCACTGATCGAACAACTGATCGAACAATTAGTTGAACAACTGATCGAACCACTGATCGAACCACTGATCGAACAACTGATCGAACAACTGGTCGAACCACTGATCGAACCACTGATCGAACCACTGATCGAACCACTGATCGAACCACTGGTCGAACCACTGATCGAATAACTGATCGAACCACTGATCGAACCACTGATCGAACAATTGATCGAACAACTGGTCGAACCACTGATCAAACCACTGATCGAACCACTGATCGAACCACTGATCGAACCACTGATCGAATAACTGATCGAAGAATTGGTCGAAGAATTGGTCAAAGAATTGGTTGAACAACTGGTCGAACAACTGGTCGAACAACTGGTCGAACAACTGATCGAACCACTGATCGAACCACTGATCGAACCACTGATCGAACAACTGGTCGAACAACTGATCGAACAACTGATCGAACCACTGATGAACAATTGATCGAACAACTGATCGAACAACTGATCGAACAATTGATCAAACAGCTTATACTCTTATACAATTTTATAGAAAATTTGTACGTGATTTGGCACTAGGATGAGGATGAGTGTTTTTGACTTTGCAGGCTGATATATACGAGCCACGAGGCTTACAGGCGCCCATCAGGATGAGGTTTGCAGGTTGATATAATATACGAGCCACGAGGCTTACAGCGCCCATCAGGATGAGGTTTGCAGGTTGATATAATATACGAGCCACGAGGCTTACAGCGCCCATCAGGATGAGCTTTCACTTTGCAGGTTGATATATACGAGCCACGAGGCTTACAGGCGCCCATCAGGATGAGGTTTGCAGGCTGATATATACGAGCCACGAGGCTTACAGCGCCCATCAGGATGAGGTTTCACTTTGCAGGTTGATATATACGAGCCACGAGGCTTACAGCGCCCATCAGTATGAGGTTTCACTTTGCAGGTTGATATATACGAGCCACGAGGCTTACAGCGCCCATCAGTATGAGGTTTCACTTTGCAGGTTGATATATACGAGCCACGAGGCTTACAGCGCCCATCAGTATGAGGTTTCACTTTGCAGGTTGATATATACGAGCCACGAGGCTTACAGCGCCCATCAGTATGAGGTTTGCAGGCTGATATATACGAGCCACGAGGCTTACAGCGCCCATCAGGATGAGGTTTCACTTTGCAGGTTGATATATACGAGCCACGAGGCTTACAGCGCCCATCAGTATGAGGTTTCACTTTGCAGGTTGATATATACGAGCCACGAGGCTTACAGGCGCCCATCAGGATGAGGTTTCACGATATTTTTACAGGGATATCATATATCGTATATATATATATATACCCCTTCTATATATACGAGGGGTGGATATTGTAATCTAATCCCGGATGTAATTGTATTATTGGATGTAAGATCAAACTGAAATGTAATTAAAGCACCGTGATTTATTGTATTCCTGTTAGCAGCAGCACTGGATAATATAAAGCTGATCACACATTAGGTTTTACATTGGAGGGGGGGGGGGGGGGGGGGGGGGGTTACGAGGTGTCACTATTTCAGAGTTCCGTGTGATTGCAATCTCACAGGACATAGCTAGAGTTTAATTTGAGTTGTGTATTTCTGCTGTTGCTATCTTAACTCGGGTTACTTCCAGTTTAATACTTGTAGACCAACTTAATCGCAAATCTTACTTAAATATTTGTTGCCTTATACTAAAGAAACTACACAATCTATACATATTACACAGGAACTAGTTGCTCCGAATTACACGTGAATTGTCTCAAAGTTTTAATTGTTACTATAGAGCTCCTCTAACATAACACCTATTTACCACTTTTTGTGAAGGTCATTGTCCCCCTTGTTGTTGTTGGCATTTTTACACACGTCACAGTACCACTACAGCTATAACACCGACCTGTTAGATTGTATTGTACACAGTTGGCAAGGTATAACAAGGGGTTGCCAAGGTAACACAGTTGCCAAGGTAAACGAGTTCCTTAATTAGTGTAACCTCGCAATTTTAGCCCCTAAAATTATTTCATGTCTTTTTCATGTCTTTTGCTTATGCTTTGGCAGTTTTATTTGCTTTGTTTGCACCCTCTCTTTTTTGCGGCTATAGGACGTTAAATTGAACTTATTTGCATCAACTTGGCATCAAAAGCAAATTGGCACCCCCTCTGGCCTCTAGTAGTGCCAACTGTAAGGACGACTAAAACTTTGTGGTTAGTCGTCCTCCGAATTGTCTTTACTGTTTAATAAAAATGTTAACTATATAGCCATGGTTGTCCGAAGTATTTAGTTATTATAACTAAAAGCTCTGCACTGAAGGTATATAGGCAGGATGGTTAGTAACCTAATGAAGAAGTATGTGGGTTTAGTAGTACTGCTAATTTGCGCAATACTGGCTCTTAAAGAGATTGCTCAGTTCGTCAGTCCCCCCTGCATCAACTCTCTCAACTTCACTCTCACCTCTATAAACACAGAGCGATCCAGCCGGAGACAAGGTTTCTTATTTATTTAGTTATTTATTAAGTTATTCATATAATATTTAGTTATTCGTTGATTAAGCTATATATTGACTCAGTTTTAACTGCTGTCTTGCTGAACTGCTGTTTTGTAATGTAATATAATTCTGTTTCACACTTCCACATTACTATTATGTACAGTAATATGCTGTGTGAGTACTTAGTATTAAGTATAGTAAGTAGTAAGTTAATTAATGTGCTGTATTAGTAGTAAGTATAATAAGTAGTAAGTTAATTAATGTGCTGTGTTAGTATTAAGCATAGTAAGTAGTTAGTTAATTAATGTGCTGTGTTAGTATTAAGTATAGTAAGTAGTAAGTTAATTAATATGCTGTGTTAGTATTAAGTATAGTAAGTAGTAAGTTAATTAATATGCTGTGTTAGTATTAAGTATAGTAAGTAGTAAGTTAATAAATATGCTGTGTTAGTATTAAGTATAGTAAGTAGTAAGTTAATCAATATGCTGTGTTAGTATTAAGTATAGTAAGTAGTAAGTTAATTAATATGCTGTGTTAGTATTAAGTATAGTAAGTAGTAAGTTAATCAATATGCTGTGTTAGTATTAAGTATAGTAAGTAGTAAGTTAATTAATATGCTGTGTTAGTATTAAGTATAGTTAGTAGTAAGTTAATTAATATGCTGTGTTAGTATTAAGTATAGTAAGTAGTAAGTTAATTAATATGCTGTGTTAGTAGTAAGTATAGTAAGTTAATCAATATGCTGTGTTAAAAGTAAGTGATCTGAATTTCAGACCATATGAAGATACCCTCAGAAGTTATTATAAAATTAGACGGTAAAGCTAAACCGCAGCCGCTGAGCGCTGTTGCCAACCAATACAGTAAGTTTTACTTTAATTAGATTACAGTAAGTTTAACTTTAATTAGATTACAGTAGGTTTAACTTTAATTAGATTGCAGTAAGTTTAACTTTAATTAGATTACAGTGAGTTTTACTTTAATTAGATTACAGTGAGTTTTACTTTGATTAGATTACAGTGAGTTTTACTTTAATTAGATTACAGTGAGTTTTACTTTAATTACATACAGTGAGTTTAACTTTAATTACATACAGTAAGTTTAACTTTAATTAGATTACAGTGAGTTTTACTTTAATTACATACAGTAAGTTTAACTTTAATTCGATTACAGTAAGTTTAACTTTAATTAGATTACAGTGAGTTTTACTTTAATTACATACAGTGAGTTTTACTTTAATTAGATTACAGTGAGTTTTACTTTAAATAGATTACAGTGAGTTTTACTTTAATTAGATTACAGTGAGTTTTTAATAATGCTTGCCGCTTTCTGCCGCTGATTTGCTGCTGCTTTTATTTTACTATTTTGTTTTAGATAACAGGTTTGGACTAATGAGTAACATATTCATAAAAAGGTTAACTGAGTAACCGTGGGGTCACTAATAGTTACTAATGGTTACTAATGGTTACTATTGGTTACTTATGATTACTATTAGTTACTTATGATTACTATTAGTTACTAATGGTTACTTATGATTACTATTGGTTACTAATGGTTACTATTAGTTACTAATGGTTACTATTGGTTACCTATGATTACTAATGGTTACTATTAGTTACTAATGGTTACTTATGATTACTATTGGTTACTAATGGTTACTTCCTCAGGTGACACTTTCACAGGAAACAGGTTAAAGATCTGGTTTGGTGGTCGCTGTATTGATGCAGATGATGACAATAAAGAACTTACAGTTGCCCACTGCAATCCTGACTGGGTAGGTGTTGACTTGATCAGGGTGCAATGTTCCAATGGTGTGTGTAAGGACCCCCTCTGGCTACGTGCCTGTAGGGGGCATATTGGGGGTACAATGGTGGGTGTAGGGACCCCCCTAGCTACGTGCCTGTAGGGGGCATATTGGGGGTACAAGGGTGTGTGTAGGGACCCCCCTCTGGCTACGTGCCTGTAGGGGGCATATTGGGGGTACAAGGGTGTGTGTAGGGACCCCCCTCTGGCTACGTGCCTGTAGGGGGCATATTGGGGGTACAAGGGTGGGTGTAGGGACCCCCCTAGCTACGTGCCTGTAGGGGGCATATTGGGGGTACAAGGGTGTGTGTAGGGACCCCCCCTCTGGCTACGTGCCTGTAGGGGGCATATTGGGGGTACAAGGGTGTGTGTAGGGACCCCCTAGCTACGTGCCTGTAGGGGGCATATTGGGGGTACAAGGGTGTGTGTAAGGACCCCCCCTGGCTACGTGCCTGTAGGGGGCATATTGGGGGTACAAGGTTGGGGGATAGGGGGCATATTGGGGGTACAAGGTGAAACTTTATTCACTAAGTAAGTATACTAAAGATAAACTTTATTCACTAAGTAAGTATAATAAAAATAAACTTTATTCACTAAGTAAGTATAATAAAAATAAACTTTATTCACTAAGTAAGTATAATAAAGATAAACTTTATTCACTAAGTAAGTATAATAAAGATAAACTTTATTCACTAAGTAAGTATAATAAAGATAAACTTTATTCACTAAGTAAGTATAATAAAGATAAACTGTATTTACTAAGTAAGTATAATAAAGATGAACTTTATTCACTAAGTAAGTATAATAAAGATAAACTTTATTCACTAAGTAAGTATAATAAAGATAAACTTTATTCACTAAGTAAGTATAATAAAGATAAACTGTATTTACTAAGTAAGTATAATAAAGATGAACTTTATTCACTAAGTAAGTATAATAAAGATAAACTTTATTCACTAAGTAAGTATAATAAACTGCAATCCTGACTGGGTAGGTGTTGACTTGATCAGGGTGCAATGTTCCAATGGTGTGTGTAGGGACCCCCCTCTGGCTACGTGCCTGTAGGGGGCATATTGGGGGTACAAGGGTGGGTGTAAGGACCCCCCTAGCTACGTGCCTGTAGGGGGCATATTGGGGGTACAAGGGTGTGTGTAGGGACCCCCCTCTGGCTACGTGCCTGTAGGGGGCATATTGGGGGTACAAGGTTGGGTGTAGGGGCCACCCTGGCTACGTGCCTGTAGGGGGCATATTGGGGGTACAAGGGTGGGTGTAGGGACCCCCCTCTGGCTACGTGCCTGTAGGGGGCATATTGGGGGTACAAGGTTGGGTGTAGGGGCCCCCCTAGCTACGTGCCTGTAGGGGGCATATTGGGGGTACAAGGTTGGGTGTAGGGGCCACCCTAGCTACGTGCCTGTAGGGGGCATATTGGGGGTACAAGGGTGGGTGTAGGGACCCCCCTCTGGCTACGTGCCTGTAGGGGGCATATTGGGGGTACAAGGTTGGGTGTAGGGGCCCCCCTAGCTACGTGCCTGTAGGGGGCATATTGGGGGTACAAGGGTGGGTGTAGGGACCCCCCTCTGGCTACGTGCCTGTAGGGGGCATATTGGGGGTACAAGGTTGGGTGTAGGGGCCACCCTGGCTACGTGCCTGTAGGGGGCATATTGGGGGTACAAGGTTGGGTGTAGGGGCCACCCTAGCTACGTGCCTGTAGGGGGCATATTGGGGGTACAATGGTGGGTGTAGGGGCCACCCTGGCTACGTGCCTGTAGGGGGCATATTGGGGGTACAAGGTTGGGTGTAGGGGCCACCCTAGCTACGTGCCTGTAGGGGGCATATTGGGGGTACAATGGTGGGTGTAGGGGCCACCCTGGCTACGTGCCTGTAGGGGGCATATTGGGGGTACAAGGTTGGGTGTAGGGGCCACCCTAGCTACGTGCCTGTAGGGGGCATATTGGGGGTACAATGGTGGGTGTAGGGACCCCCCTGGCTACGTGCCTGTAGGGGGCATATTGGGGGTACAAGGGTGTGTGTAGGGACCCCCCTAGCTACGTGCCTGTAGGGGGCATATTGGGGGTACAAGGGTGGGTGTAGGGACCCCCCTCTGGCTACGTGCCTGTAGGGGGCATATTGGGGGTACAAGGGTGTGTGTAGGGACCCCCTAGCTACGTGCCTGTAGGGGGCATATTGGGGGTACAAGGTTGGGGGATAGGGGGCATATTGGGAGTACAAGGTTGGGGGCATATTGGGGGTACAAGGTTGAGGGATAAATCTTTAGTTAAACTGCAGAATAATCGCGCTTTCCTCAGGAACAAACCTTTAGTTTAACGGCGGAGGGTAAACTGATTCACGACCCGTCGGGAAAGTGTGCCGCTCTCAATAAAAATAAACTTTATTCACTAAGTAAGTATACTAAAGATAAACTTTATTCACTAAGTAAGTATAATAAAAAATAAACTTTATTCACTAAGTAAGTATAATAAAAATAAACTTTATTCACTAAGTAAGTATAATAAAGATAAACTTTATTCACTAAGTAAGTATAATAAAGATAAACTTTATTCACTAAGTAAGTATAATAAAGATAAACTTTATTCACTAAGTAAGTATAATAAAGATAAACTGTATTTACTAAGTAAGTATAATAAAGATGAACTTTATTCACTAAGTAAGTATAATAAAGATAAACTTTATTCACTAAGTAAGTATAATAAAGATAAACTTTATTCACTAAGTAAGTATAATACAGATAAACTTTATTCACTAAGTAAGTATAATAAAGATAAACTTTATTCACTAAGTAAGTATAATGAAGATAAACTGTATTTACTAAGTAAGTATAATACAGATTAACTGTATTTACTAAGTAAGTATCTGTATTATAAATAATAAGAAAGTATTTATGATAATAAATGATAAAATCAATACACCTTCTACTTAGTAATCAACTGATAAAAAGGTTTTACTTAGAAATCAGTATACATTTTCTGATTTTGATTAACAATATTTCAGATTTAGTGGATTGCGAAGAGGGTATGATATTCAACCTGTTTAATAACTCCTTCATCCGAAGTGAGATAGGTGGCAGGACAATGTGCATCTCTCCTACAGTCCGTTAGTTGCTATCTGACTGTTCCAGTGTTCCAGAGATATTTCCAATGCTAACTGCACAAGGTTACCATGGTAACTGCACATTGCACAAGGTTACCATGGTAACTACACATTGCACAAGGTTACCATGGTAACTGCACAAGGTTACCATGGTAACTACACATTGCACAAGGTTACCATGGTAACTGCACACTGCACAAGGTTACCATGGTAACTGCACATTGCACAAGGTTACCATGGTAACTGCACATTGCACAAGATTACCATGGTAACTACACATTGCACAAGGTTACCATGGTAACTGCACAAGGTTACCATGGTAACTACACATTGCACAAGGTTACCATGGTAACTGCACACTGCACAAGGTTACCATGGTAACTGCACATTGCACAAGGTTACCATGGTAACTGCACATTGCACAAGGTCACCATGGTAACTGCACATTGCACAAGGTTACCATGGTAACTGCCTTATCTAACAGCTTTTTTGTCTCCTATTTGTTTATTTTAAATTCAATATTTTTTATTTCAGAGACAGATATCCGCCAATCTAATAGATTCACCTGTTTGAATGTCCCTGTTGCTTTGACGCCGTGTCACGAAGAGGATTCACGAATAGAGCTTATCGAGGATTCATGTTAGTGTATTATTTTACTCTCAGTGTTACCATAGCAATACAATGTTATTCAGTGTTACCATAGCAATACAATGTTACTTTAGTGTTACCAAAGCAATACAATGTTACTCTCAATGTTAACATAGCGATACAATGTTACTCTCAGTGTTACCATAGCAATACAATGTTACTCTCAGACCTCAGTGTTACCAGTGGCGTAACAAAAGGCCCTGCTGATCCCGCTGTGCAGGGGGGGCGCCGTCTTAGGGGGGCGCCAAATTGTCGTTTGAATGTGGGACAATTTCGAAAACTTAACTAAAGTACTAGCAAAACTGCGCGTTTTGCTCTAGATACACACTTTTTTAGAGATTTTACCGGCGTATTCTTTAAAATCACCTAATTTGTTCAATTTTAGGGAGGGGCACCAAAAGGGGAGGGGGCGCCAACAGGGGGGCGCTTTTTTCGGCAGGGGGGCGCCAACAGGCAACGTTACGCCACTGAGTGTTACCATAGCAATACAATGTTACTCAGTGTTACCATAGCAATACAATGTTACTCAATGTTAACATAGCAATACAATGTTACTCCCGGTAACAATAACAATAAATGTTATTATCAATTTTTACCATACAAAGCACAAACATTTCAAAAAAGATTAGTATGAATTTTATGGTGACTATGTTAATATATTAATAGAAAAAAGTGGTTAAATTAAATAAAAACAATTAGCATTGCAATCATTGTATTAGTATTGCTAATTTATAGTATTGTTACTGATTGATTAACATTTTCAGTTTTCTTGTCGGAGAGAAAAACTTTCAAAGACACAGTCGCCCCGTCAACCGGGTCATGCACTTTTAAAGCATGCGGACTGAACCCCCCTGTCAAAGCAGTGGAGATGTTAAAACCTCTCTTTACCATCAGGTACAATGATTCTTGATTCTTTTATATATCGAATTTTCGAATAAAAATACAATAACCACAGGCAAATCTATAATGATGTGAATCAAGAATAATTATTTTTTGAATGAAAACTTAAATTTAAAATAATGACAAAAACAATGATTGTCAGATGTAAGAAAGTGTTTGATTGTGTAACCGTGGTAACAAAGACAGCGAGAAGACCTTACCTTGTCATGAGACTTGCTAAATCTATCAGGGACAAAAAAGGTTTGTAGTTTGTAGTTTGTCATTTACTGACAATCAGCACTTACTTATAAACGCACGGTCAGGGATCATTTACTATTTAGCTAAGTATCACCATGGTTTCCTCTCGGTTTTTTGAGATATGCTTCACATGCTGTCCAATGATTTAACCTGATCTCTTTGACCAATGCCACATTACAGGATATGATCTAAGGATAATAGCATATGACGATGGTCCTAACGACTACCCGAAAGAAGTTTGGGACGATATGAAGGAGTACCCCTTCCTTCAGTATATGATAGGGGACAGTGATGATATGGGCATCTCGCTAGGTTAATTTTTAAGCTTTCTCTCGATTTTTAGAGTTCTGTTCGTCTTTATGAATTGTTGTATTACCAAGACGAGTTCGTTAGTGGTCATTTCATGTTTAATTCCTGTTTTAATTCCTGTTTAATTCCTAGGCAGGAACTTGGCTCTCAAGATGGTAAAAACTAAGTATTTCCTCCTGGTGGATGACGATCATGTTTTCAACGATAAGTCTAATCTTGACAAGGTCAGTTGTTATAGGTTCTACTGTTTTTGATAACCATATGTCAAAGTAAAGATAATTAGAAAGAAAGAAACTAACATTAAGAAATTGTAACATTTTAAACCATAGTTGCTATGTTAAGGTATCTTATAACTAACTATAAAACATTCAGATGATAGAGATACTCGACACAACGGACGCTACCCTGGTCGGAGGCAAGTTTGAAGGGTTTATGAAGTTTGCGGGAGCGCTGAGGTTCGGTAACTACCACGGGAGAGAAGAGTTTGCTATTTTCAGCGGGCACTGTGACAGAAACCTCACCAAGTGGGGGTGCGAGCAGTGCGACTCCACCAGCAACATCTTCATGGCTAAAACTCAGCCTGTATTAGAGGTAAGTGGGATGCGAGCAGTGCGACTCCACAAGCAACATCTTCATGGCTAAAACTCAGCCTGTAGTAGAGGTAAGTGGGGTGCGAGCAGTGCGACTCCACCAGCAACATCTTCATCCCTAAAACTCAGCCTGTATTAGAGGTAAGTGGGGTGCGAGCAGTGCGACTCCACCAGCAACATCTTCATGGCTAAAACTGAGTCTGTATTAGAGGTAAGGGGGGGTGCGAGCAGTGCAACTCCACCAGCAATATCTTCATGGCTAAAACTCAGCCTGTATTAGAGGTAAGTGGGGGTGCGAGCAGTGCGACTCCATCAGCAACATCTTCATGGCTAAAACTCAGCCTGTATTAGAGGTAAGTGGGGTGCGAGCAGTGCGACTCCACCAGCAACATCTTCATGGCTAAAACTGAGTCTGTATTAGAGGTAAGTGGGGTGCGAGCAGTGCGACTCAACCAGCAACATCTTCATGGCTAAAACTCAGCCTGTATTAGAGGTAAGTGGGGTGCGAGCAGTGCGACTCCACCAGCAACATCTTCATGGCTAAAACTCAGCCTGTATTAGAGGTAAGTGGGGTGCGAGCAGTGCGACTCCACCAGCAACATCTTCATGGCTAAAACTCAGCCTGTATTAGAGGTAAGTGGGGTGCGAGCAGTGCGACTCCACCAGCAACATCTTCATGGCTAAAACTCAGCCTGTATTAGAGGTAAGTGGGGTGCGAGCAGTGCGACTCAACCAGCAACATCTTCATGGCTAAAACTCAGCCTGTATTAGAGGTAAGTGGGGTGCGAGCAGTGCGACTCCACCAGCAACATCTTCATGGCTAAAACTCAGCCTGTATTAGAGGTAAGTGGGGTGCGAGCAGTGCGACTCCACCAGCAACATCTTCATGGCTAAAACTCAGCCTGTATTAGAGGTAAGTGGGGTGCGAGCAGTGCAACTCCACCAGCAACATCTTCATGGCTAAAACTCAGCCTGTATTAGAGGTAAGGGGGGTGCGAGCAGTGCGACTCCACCAGCAACATCTTCATGGCTAAAACTCAGCCTGTATTAGAGGTAAGTGGGGGTGCGAGCAGTGCGACTCCACCAGCAACATCTTCATGGCTAAAACTCAGCCTGTATTAGAGGTAAGTGGGGGTGCGAGCAGTGCGACTCCACCAGCAACATCTTCATGGCTAAAACTCAGCCTGTATTAGAGGTAAGGGGGGTGCGAGCAGTGCGACTCCACCAGCAACATCTTCATGGCTAAAACTCAGCCTGTATTAGAGGTAAGTGGGGGTGCGAGCAGTGCGACTCCACCAGCAACATCTTCATGGCTAAAACTCAGCCTGTATTAGAGGTAAGGGGGGTGCGAGCAGTGCGACTCCACCAGCAACATCTTCATGGCTAAAACTCAGCCTGTATTAGAGGTAGGACACTGAATCTTGCTGATACCTGTCCTGATGTCTTTCCTAATACCTGTCCTTATATCTTTCCTAATACCTGTCTTAATATCTTTCCTAATACCTGTCCTAATATCTTTCCTAATACATGTCCTAATATCTTTCCTAATACCTGTCCTAATATCTTTCCTAATACCTGTTCTAATATCTTTCCTGATACCTGTCCTAATATCTTTGCTAATACCTGTCCTAATATCTTTCTTAATACCTGTCTAATATCTTTGCTAATACCTGTCCTAATATCTTTGCTAATACCTGTCCTAATATCTTTCCTAATACCTGTCCTAATATCTTTCCTAATACCTGTCCTGATATCTTTCCTAATACCTGTCCTAATATCTTTGCTAATACCTGTCTAATATCTTTGCTAATACCTGTCCTAATATCTTTCCTAATACCTGTCCTAATATCTTTCCTAATACCTGTCTAATATCTTTGCTAATACCTGTCCTAATATCTTTCCTAATATCTGTCCTAATATCTTTCCTAATACCTGTCCTGATATCTTTCCTAATACATGTCCTCATATCTTTGCTAATACCTGTCCTAATATCTTTGCTAATACCTGTCCTAATATCTTTCCTAATATCTTCCTAATATCTTTCCTAATACCTGTCCTGATATCTTTCCTAATACATGTCCTCATATCTTTGCTAATACCTGTCCTAATATCTTTCCTAGTACCTGTCCTGATATCTTTCCTAATACCTGTCCTAATATCTTTCCTAATACCTGTCCTAATATCTTTCCTAATACCTGTCCTAATATCATTCCTAATACCTGTCCTCATATCTTTGCTAATACCTGTCCTAATATCTTTCCTAATACCTGTCCTGATATCTTTCCTAATATCTGTCCTAATATCTTTCCTAATACCTGTCCTGATATTTTTGCTAATACCCTTTCTGGTAATTGTTTTAATAATTGTCCTAATAATTGTTTTTGCATCAGATAGGAGGCTGGAGCGAAGAGTTACTGATAGCAGAACATGCAGATTTCTTCGTAAAAATGAAAGCCGTGGGAAATAAAATAGTGTACTGTGACGATATAGAGGTTATAAATCAACAGGAGACTCCGGAGGAACGATCCAAAAATTATCAAAAACTCAGGTTAATAATTTACTATAGCAATACTATAGGTTACTATAGCAACGCAGCAAGTCACTATAGCAACATTATTGATTATAGCCAAACTTCTAGTTACTTATTTACTACAGTAACGCTAAAAGTTAGCATCGTTACAGACAACTGGACAACAGTACAAGTTACGGTTCTTTTGCGATAGTCAAAACGCGACAACTAGCGCTGGATGGCGACAACTAGCGCTATCCAGCGCTAGTTGTCGCTATCCAGCGCTGGATAACGCTGGCCAGCGCAAAATATATGTGTTCGATAATTGTCGCTATCCAGCGCTAGTTGTCGACATCCAGTGCTAGTTGTCGCTATCCAGCGCTAGTTGTCGCTGTCCAGCGCTAGTTGTCGCTATCAAGCGCAAAATATCAATTTTTGATAATTTTTCGATAATTGTCGCGACAAATAGCGCTGGATAGCGACAACTAGCGCTGGACAGCGACAACTAGCGCTGGATAGCGATAACTAGCGCTGGACAGCGACAACTAGCGCTGGATAGCGACAACTAGCGCTGGATGTCGACAACTAGCGCTGGCCTGCGCTGGCCATAGATAGCCAGCGCAAAATTTTTGCGATATTACTCGTCAGCTAGCGCTGGCCAGCACAATGTATCAAAATCAATATCATATACTTGCGATATTACTATAAGTATATACTTGCGATATATTATTACTATTAGAATAGAAATTCGGCGGAATGACAGGCTGAGCGCCGCCCAATAAGTTGAGCTCCGCCCAGCTAGTAAGCCAACGCTAACAATTGTAAATGTAGGTTTATAACCGTACCTTTAGTTTTAGTTTTAGTTTTTACAAATATTTGCGCACTGGATAGCGCTGGCGCATGGCGCTGAATGGATGATGATTAATCACTCTACACTCGACTGTCACGTGACTTTTTCAACCCGTTCTCTAGCTGGTTCTGAACGACTTTTCGAAACCCTAACCCTCTAATCTGATCCCAACCCTAACCCTAACCCAATCCTTAACAAAAACATATGCTGAAACCCTAACCCTAACGAAAAATTAGACTAACTTCCTTATACGGTCATATCACGTGATCAAGACAGTTTTTCGCCAATATCTCGTCAGGGGAGCATTTTAACCCTATGTCATGGGGGGGGGGGGGGGGGGGGGGGGGGGGGGGTGATTCGGAATCAGCGTCCGAAAATACATCGATTGAAGTTGGTTTCATCCGTCGGGGGCCCTTTTAGAACAATCTCGAAGATCGACTGTAGAGTGATTCAGCACGCTTGGCGCTGGATAGCGCTGGATAGCGCTGGCTAGCGCTGGATAGCGCTGGATAGCGCTGGATAGCGCTGGATAGCGCTGGATAGCGCCGGATAGCGCTGGCCAGCGCTAGCTGACGAGTAATATTGCAAACATTTTGCGCTGGCTATCGATGGCCAGCGCTGGCCAGCGCTTGCCAGCGCTAGTTGTCGCTATCCAGCGCTAGTTATCGAACTGTTTTCTGCGATGGCCAGTTGCGCTGGCCATCGCAAACTATCGCGTGCGACAGTGTCGCATAGCCAGCGACAACTAGCGCTGGATAGCGACAACTAGCGCTGGATGGCGACAACTAGCGCTGGATGGCGACAACTAGCGCTGGATGGCGACAACTAGCGCTGGATAGCGACAATTATCGAACATATAAATTTTGCGCTGGCCAGCGTTATCCAGCGCTGGATAGCGACAACTAGCGCTGGATGGCGACAACTAGCGCTGGATAGCGCTAGTTGTCGCGTTTTGACTATCGCAAAAGAACCCAAGTTACTATAGCAACACTAGAAGTTACTATAGCAACATCATACTATGATGATCATAGCAACACTAAAAGTTAAAGTAAGTTAGAGTAAGTTGATGTTGCTTGTTCTCAGGTACGATATGGGAAGAAAGAACAGGATGTTCCGATTAATGAACGCTCGCTACAACGTTAACGGGCTGTTCTGGTGTTCAAAGTACGAAGTTGTAGAAGAAACTCAAGAACTTAAGTGTCTGGAAACAAAACACAAGATTGGATACTGCTAGGCTATTTGACCAGATACCCAAAGCCTGCCCACATTTATATATCACAAATTGAGAGATCATTTTTGTGGGGCAGAAAACCGATATTATCATCAATATTATCACCACTATAGTCCGACACTTTGACTTCGAATCCCAAACGTTTTTTACAAATTGTAATACTAATTATTTCGTTAATATTAATAACTTTCAGATAATAATTTGTTTTTCCTTTTATATTGTAAGATGGAGTGATTAGACAACTTTTATTTTCGGTTTGATCAGAGCGCGCATGTAGGGAGCTGCGATATCCAAAAAGCTCGATCACTCCGCAAAACGATGTCGTCATAACAACGCGCAATTTTCAGCCTGATCACTCAGGGACAAGGTTAAATTTGCCGAGGGTGGAATTTCAATTCCAAATTGAGTGAACTTGATAGAATGGTTTGTTAATAAAACAAAAAGCTTGATTTACCTAAGATTATTCAAACTTTAAAATAAATATTGCCATGTTACATAAATGGTTTTAAACATATACGGCTGAAACTTTGTTGCTGCATTCAATGTACAATGTACATAGTATGTACATTGTACATTGAATGCAAACAAGTTTCAGTCCTATAATATCTTTAAAATCATTTTCATTATTTTAGGTGAAACTTTTTTTAAAATCAGACGATCAACTTTTTCAATTTTGATATAAATTGGCTTCCATTACTCATAGTCATGGTCAGGGACAAAAGAAAATCGCGATTATTTTGCCAAAAAATCGCGATATTGCGATTTTTAACAGACTATACAGAAGACAGTTAAGACTATACATAAAATTTGTCGCAAATAATGGAAAAATCGCGATTCCGCACATGCTGCGATTTCCTTTTGTCAGGGGTGTAGGAATGATTTTCTTCTAAAATTCTAAATATTTTTTGGCGCTTCGCGCCACAGCCAAATTTCGAGGGTAAGGACAAAAGGAAATTGCACTTGCAGCATGTTGATGTGCGGTATCGCGATTTTTCAGATCCTGGCATCACAAAATCTTACCTGGGGGCCTCAGGCTATTATATTCATGTTTATAATCATATGAACATAAATCACCGATCAATAGAGATTCGATTTCGGCGGAATGACAGGCTGAGCGCGGCCCAGTGGCTCTGGCAGTAAGACAAATCGCGATTTTTTCAGTTCTCCGCGTCAAATTGTGCATTTTCCTTTAAATCTGAGGACCAAATTTGCGTATTTTCCTTCAAATCTGTGGGCCAAATATAACGTTTTTTATAATTAGTATATTTGACCAAAACCCATAATCATGGGTAGGGTGGACCGCTGCCAGTGTCTCTCTTTCCCAAACAAAAGGATATGATATCAATTTGATTGACCGTTCTCAAATGCAAAATGATACCGAGAATGAAATCGGTCGCTCGCTTTTCCCATTCATTTACAATTGTAATAGATTAAGAAGAACTACCCGAAGGCAGCTGTACTCGGCAACAAAGATTCAATAAACTTCAGCTAATTCATTAAAATTTAATTACCACCCTTTTCCCGAAATACTAGGTATCGACCCGAACACAACCCAAAGAGATTTTTACAGCATGTGATTGATCATGATGTAATTAATCGAAACTTATTACAATTCGTAAGCCGTGAATGAATGGGAAAAGCGAGCGACCGATTTCATTCTCGGTATCATTTTGCATTTTGGAAAATGCCTGGAAAACAATAAAGGGGATATAATACTAATAGTATAGGGGGCAAAAAGTATTGTGAATATAACGGCAACGGTAATGCTTGCCAGCATTGTGATATAATACAATCATTTAACTATGTTGTAATATGGTATTCAGAGATATCTTTTAGGATATCTTAGTTTTAGTATAACGTTTACGGGACGTAGAATTTAGTATGTGTTTCCGGGTATATATTAACCAATGTTTTTATATGTTCGTATTTGGGAGTTACACATTTTGAGTGTAAGTCGGTTGGCTGGCAGAACTACTGTCAGACTAACTGTCTGTAACGAGCCGTCCGCTCACTTTGCACCTGACTAACAGCCAGACCTGTGGTTGGTCCTCGCGGACGCAGGGTGACTGCTAGTGGAGTGCTTATTGGCGAGACGGCGTGTCACGTGGTACAAGCAGATGCGTTGTGCCGTCACGCAGTATGGCGTGACGAGTTTTGAGAGTATACCCGGAGAGCCGGATGTGAAGAGCTCACTTCTTAGTTGCCCCTTAATAACTTTAAGGGATTCGAATTAACGGTAGCCAGTCTTACTGAGCACTACCAGTTGTGATTTGACACGTCGTGTGATCTATAATCACGTTAATCGATTAGAGCGAACACTTGGAAGTTTTTATCTGTTGACGTTCACTTTGTATTACTTTTCCATTTATTTAATTCTCCTTTTTAGTTACTCGTTTCATTTCTACTATACGGTACGCCCTGCCGTTCGTGCTACGTGACTAGAGCTTGACTAGCATACACTAAATACCAAGAGAACTCCGTTTTCTATATCTGGAGGCCACTTTTAGTGTTGCTATTTTGCTCGTGATCCTTCTATTATCACTTATATTCAGTATAGTTTCGATTAGATCCTAACGTTGTCATTTGCTAAGCTAAGTTCGGGGTTACGTCGCAGTTCAGAAGAATTACGTGGAGATTGTTCGAGATCTTTCAGTACTTCCTACTAGATTTGGTAAGTGTTGCTACCCATTTTGTGGTACCTGTTATATATTCCTGTTGAGTGCGATCGTTTTGACGAGCACCTAGTTTACAGCCGCTTGGAGACTTCAGTACGTTATTACCTAGATTATTAGTGAGTTTTGCGTGAGTTTAGCAACCTTACTTTTCGTACATCTACTCAGGAGTGATAGACGTAGAAGTTACAGTTCCAGTAAAGCTAAGTAAAGTCTTGACTAGAAGATTTTCCAGCAACGTGAGGAGTACGCCTGTTCCAGTACTTATCTTCTCTATTTGTAAGTGTACTTTTACATTTAGATTCACGTTTTAGCATGTGTGATAGTTATGCAGCTGAAATGGAGTGGGCAACGTCAATTATCGAGTCAAACATAAATAAGACTATGGAGGAGATAGATGGTTTAGATACAGATAGCCATGACATTTCCGATTTAGAGAAGGAGTTGAATTCAGCTTTAGAATGCCTGCAGAATAAGATTGATAATGTACGGCCAGAACCACTTAGCACAGTTACTAAGTTTAGAAACGTGAACATCGGGGATGATTTTGACAACAGTATGATAACCCCATTGAATAGTTCAGTCGCTGGTCCACATTTGACGGGTGCCAAGCCTCCCAAGCCTCCTTACTTTGACACTGGATCTAATTTCATCAGATTTTCCAGGCGGTTCAAGGAGCATTTGATTCTGTGTGGACATAGCGGTGGTTCTGATATTAGCACGTATATGTTGTCGTACATTCGTTGTGAATCCACCTGGGAAATACTGCAGAAAATCTCTCTTAGGCCGGACGAGAGATGTAATATTGATCTTCTTATTAAGCGATACTCAGAGGAGATATTTCCAGCTACTCAATCTTGGGCCTATAGAACTGAGCTCATGTCATTGCGTCAGTTAGCAAATGAGAACCTACAGCAGTTTATTTCACGTATAGATGAGCTTGATTTTAAAGCCGGATACGACTGCGAGTCGAAGAGGGACGAGAGTTGCTTGCATGTTCTTGTTGTAGGAGCTCGTGACGTAGCTGTAAGGACTAAGCTTTATGAGTCCCAGTTACACTCCTATAGAGAGGCAGTAAAACTAGCAATCCACACTAAGCGTATCACGTTAGCTGTTGGTGGTGAACCAGGGAGTTTCACTCAGGCCCAGGATACGATTTTCGCCATTAGTAATCCTGAATTAGATGGCCAGAGAGCTAGGTTTGCAGCACCTAGACAAACACGTGACCACTTTATGACGGGCACTAGACAGGAGAGTTACAGTCCTGAATGTCCTCCTTCCCATTCGGAAGTTAACCAGCACACAGGCCGATCATGGACTCCTAATCTAGTTAGCAATAGTTTTAGGGGTGGTATGAGAAATTATGATCGTAGAAACACGTCTGTTCGGTCACGTTATCAGCCAACTCGCAACGTGGTTAATTCTAATAATCGGGGATCACGTAACGTTCGCTCTCAGTTAGAAGGTTGTTGGGAGTGTGGTAATAAAGGGCATTTTCAGAGAAACTGTCCGAGCAGATTTTCTGGTAATAGAAGTAGATATCAAGACAGAGGATCTTTATATCAGAGTGGTTATGGCCAACAGAGTGGGAACAGAGCGTATAGACCTAACAACCAGGCGCCTTTAAACTTCTATGAGGATTGCAACGAGATTGGTGGCAGTAAGGGAAACTGCATTTTGGTTGGAGGAAATTGTGCTGGTAGATCAGCAAATTTCTTTGTGGATACGGGATCATCTATTTCTATAATTGCTGAATCATTTGTCAGATTTATAGATAAGTTTGAGAAGGTTGTGTCGTGTAATCTCAAGCTCAAGTCCTTTTCGGGAAATAGCATAAAGACTTTCGGTCAGATTAAGCTTCCAGTGATAATTGCCGGAAAATCTTTTGAGCACACGTTTTTTGTTTCTGAATTTCATGAGGCAGAGGTTCTGATAGGCATGGATTTGATGTTTGATCAGGGGATTAATATTAATGCCAGAGATAGATTGCTGTATACTAATAAGGGTTCATCATGTTTTAGAACACCACCTAAACCCACTAAGCGCTGCATGAAGGTAGTATGCAATGAAACAGTAATTATACCACCTCTCTCGGGCACTCATATACAAGGCAAATTGTTGCGACCTAAAAGTCAACGTGATGACGTTTATGGCCAGTTAGAACCTCATATTAACACAGTTGTAGGTACTGGCATATTCACAGCGCACTCTCTCATACGGTCTGAGGACAACATGGTCCCTGTTAGAGTCATGAATCCTACAGATAAGCCTGTGAAGATAAGTAAGAGAACCTGGCTGGGCAAGATGAAGCCAGTAGAGTTTGGTGAGCGAGTGATGAGAATAACCTGTGAAACGGTTAATGCGATATCATCTGATTGTTCAGTGCCAGAGGTGAGCAAGTTAGCTGATGAGGAGCCGCTAGTTAAGGAATGGGATAGAGAGAGTCTTTTCAAACAGTTGAAGTTAGAC